CTCTTGGAAGGCAAGTTTTTCTCCTGGAAGACAAGATATTTCTTGGAAGGCAGGAGTTCCTTGGAAGGCAAGGCGTATACAAGGGTTTGACTCACTCGACACTTTGCCAGTTCAGTTGAGGGGGCTCTTGAACCCTGGCCAGTTTGGGGCACAACCCGCGGTTTACTTGGTCTGCGTGAAGAGGGGCTGGATCGTAGACCCCAGCATTAGTCGTTGTAAGGTGGACACTTGGGTATAAAAAAAAAAAAGAGGTTGTTTAGGATAACTTTTGTTTTTTTGTAGAAGAGCTCGATCTTCTCTAAGAACTTTTCTTCCAAAAATTATTTAAACATACTCAAAAGCAGTTTCTTAGTCTTAAAGACTTCACTATTTTATTTTTCTTCTCACTCATTTTTAAAGTACTTTTAGATTGGACGTGTCACTTTGACCACAACTCTCAATTGGGTAATCTATTAAAATTCAAATTTTTGCAGCAATGCCAATAAATACGAGGAAAGATGTCTATATCTATTTAATTGATTAGTTTCATTGTTTGCTAAATTTATTTGTATCATTTATTGACGTTGTAACATGTAAGATGTTCAATTCTGCACCAGTTATTTAGTTAAGAGGAAGAAATTTGATGAATACTAATGCACCAGAGATTATTGAAGCGGGAATTCATTTAACTTTGCTAATTTATTGTCGTTGTTTGTTTGAAGAAATGTTAGTGCTTTGTAGAAGCTCTATTTGTTCTAATAAATTTGGATCATCCTTCATCCTTGGAGCTGGAAATAAAACTACGAGAAAGCTTTCTTTATCTTTATTGTTATGTTACGATGTTACCAAGTTAATTTATTGTTATATCATGATGTTACCAAGTTAATATTGGATTATATGGAGCCTATGTTGCGGAATTGAACTTCAATTGGTGGAATAAGACTCAGTTTAAACTTACCAATGAATATCAAACAACCAATAAAAACTCCGACCCACAACTTATATTCACTTATGGTTGCTCTCTTCCTTTTTCGCCCACAAATTGACAAGATTATGGTGATGATGTGCAAGCCACAAAGGCAAAGAGAAAACGATAAAAATAAGGTATGAAGAAGTTTCTCTCAAAAAAAGGCAAAGCACGCACACACGGTTCTAACCAAAGTGAAGGCTATATAGTGTAGGTTATCCAATTGGTCCAAGATACAAGATAATGGGCCAAGACTCAAAGAAAGTCATATAAGTGAATTTGGGTCAAGGCAACATTAATAAATTAACTTACTACCAGTGGCCCACATTACTTTCAAGTCAAGCCTATAAATTATGGGAAAATTTCATAAATAAGAATTTAAGTATCACACATTTCAAAATTAAGAAAATAAGTTCAAACTTCAAATATCAGATTTTTATCAAAATTTATTTATGATTTAATTAGTTAATTAATTATTTTATTAATTAAATATATTTAGGTCACAGATCTATACAATTTGGTCACAAATTTACAATTTAATTAATTACTTATTATATTTTGGTCACAAATCAAAAATTTTATGTCACAAATTTTTCAACGATCACAATTCAAGAATTTTGTAGGTCACAGTTTGTTTATCAGTCACAAATCAAAAACATAATTAGTCACGGATTAATTTTTAATCACAACTTATCACAATATTGTTCACAACTTATTTTTCAATCACAAATTAAAAATTTTACAGGTCACATATTATTTTTCAGTCATGAATCAAAAAATTTATAAGTCACAAATTAATTTTTCGGTCACAATTTAATAAATTAAAGTCACAAACAATTTTTAGGTCATGTATTATTTATTTATCATAAAATTTTTATTGATCACAATTCATTTATCAGTCACAAATTTTCAAAATAATTAGTCACAATTAATTTTACAGTCACTAACTCAATAAATTATGAGTTACAATTACATTTTTTAGGTCACATATTATTCATTTTTAGGTCACTAATTAATTCGTCACGGATTAATTTTTAGTCACAATTTATCAAATTATTAGTCGCAACTTATTTCTCGATTACAAATTGAAAATTTTATAGATCACAAAAATACTTTTCAATCACGAATCTAAAAATTTTATACGCCACGACTCATGAATTATTCATCGGCCACATATTCAAAACTTTTATTGGTCTCAATTCATTTATTCATTGTAAATTATTTGATTAGTTGGTCACGATTAATCAATTGTGAGCCATAATCACAATTTTCAGGTCACATATCCAATTATTAGTCACAAATCGATCAAATCGCCACAACCACCATCACGACCAACTCACAGTCACAATTTTCAGGTCACGGGTCCAATTACTTGTCAAAAAATCTACTAAACCGTCATGACCACCACAACCACAACGAAAACCATCACTACCACTGCACCGCCCCCACGGCCACACGACCACACTAGAAAAATCCCAAATTTGACACCGGACTGTACCACCACTGCCCATACCAACCATCACTGCCATCACCTCGGCTCAATCACAAAACAACCACTGACCACACAGTACCCACCATCGCAACACACACATGTTTTTCCTCCGTCACCGACCATCACACAAAATAGAAAACCTTCCTCGCCGCCACTACGACCTCCCGTTATAGCTGTTGCTGCAGATCTCTGCCAGATCGCTACTGCTGTAGGTCACCGCCAGATCCTGTCGTTCATGACCAGATCGCTGCCAAATCCGACACTAAAAGCCCTCACCACCGGCTTTGTCGACGCTGCATTGGAGAAGTTCGCAGCAGCGTCGGTCGGCGACATGCAACAAAGCATACCACAACTATCGATCGATGAAGCTGGAACAAAGCAGCTCCTCTATCGTTGATCCTCCATTGACTTTCGCCGATCAGATGCGAGAGAGAGAGAATCAGGTTTTGGGCCGGGGGGAATGAAATAAGTAGGGTTTGAAATTATTATTTATTTTATAGATTAATTAATTTCTTAATTTGTTCATTAATTAATAAAAGATCTAGTTTATGAAATTGCAAAGTTCATATATGATTTTGGAACCCTAGATTTTAACTCTAGAGTTCCCTGTAATTTCCACATAAATTAATTGTGTTGGTAATTATTTTACTCAGCGATCGAGGTCTATGAAATATATTCTAAACTATTTAATATCATTGCCCAATATTTATTGGGTATCAAAATCCAAAAGCCTAATCATATTTTACATTTATTTCCTCGACTGTGAATAAACCTTTGCAATAAGGTTGATGGGAGCAAACTGCCTGGGAGTAGAAAGACGTTCGTTCTTGAGGCAATTTTTAGGTGTATTTAGGGTGTATATTATACTTATATCAGTATTATACGTAGATGATTTCAGGGAAGACATAGGTATGAACGCATGAGCTCATCGTTGACAGTGGTAATCCTTTTTCTTCTTTACCATTAAGTGACATAACACATTAACACTCACATTGAAGTCTCTGTGTTACTTCGAGTAATTCTAATTCGTTTTACTTAATATTTATCTAGTAAATGGGATAGGTCAATAGCTCTAAACATCAAGAGGTCCATGATGTCACAGGTTACTGTTGGACATAAGCCTATTACCTGACTCAAACTCAGTCTCGGAGGCAGCAAACAAAATCGTCCTGCTACTCATTTGCAGCATCCGTTTCCTCTTCCTGAAGTCCTTCAACCACACTGGGACACACACATCTCTATATAAACACCGTAGTGGCGAGGTCCCGAGGAACAGGATAGCCAGTCGTTTGAACCAATCAAATGGAAAAATTTCTCTCACTTAAGCACTGCACCAATAGAGGATACTGACACATGCATTGGAGATCTCTTTCCACAGGGGCTTTACAGGCCCCTCACTGTGTGAAGTGGTCCACCTGTATTTAAAAAAAAAATTATTGTGGATCCCACCTTGTGTCTTCCCTGGCACCAGCCCCTGTAACTGTAGCATCACTCAATTGTTATTGGGGCTCAGCTATGTGTTTGGGATTTTGGTGCCAAAAGAGTTTTAAACTTGAAAACTTCTTTCTCCAAAGTATAGGTATGTACTGTTAAGATTTGGGGTTCATCTTAATAAGGTCAACATTATTAAGAGGAGTATTGAACAACTTAAATAGATCTTGAATCACTCCTCTTAATAAGATTGACCTTATTAAAATGGACCTCAAATCTTAATATGATATCAAAGCCCAGTAAGCTCTAAGGAGCTATTCGATCCGATTAAGTCTCAAAAAATGAGCACATGAATTTTAAGATTGGTCTGCTCAAAAAGAGCTACGATCTTGCGGGGGCATGTTAAGGGAATGAATCTCACAACAGTTAAATACCGAAATATTGATCAATTTAAATAGATCTTGGATTACTCCTCTTAATAAGGTTGACCTTATTAAGATGGACTCCAAATCTTAACATGTACAATAAGGAGATCGGTGTACTGCACAAATACCTGATGGTTTGTCAGCTTCACATTCGAACAAGAAAAATTTTGATGAAAGAAAAGGGGATGGTATCAGCTCAGAAAACTGGCGAAATTTGTAGTTTCGAACGGAAATATCCAAGGGCCGCAAGATATGTCAGGTCATTGTTTGATGATCGGGTGCGCTCAGGGTTGACAAAGGAAAGAATATGTTACGTGTTGAGCTACTAAAACATCATTGTGCTAATCTACTATCATTCAGCGGCTAGCAAAATTGTCACAATGGAGTCATGGACGGTTTTTATCCATGTTGACATTATGAAACTATAGACAAAAAATAACAATTATTCTAAAATTTGAATAGTTGCTGATTGAAATTGGCTAGAAATAAAGATTGGATACCTTATTGATAAGCTTATAAATTAGAAATATTCACGGTATTTTCTTTATTCATATAAAATAATTGAAAACTTTTATCCATCACACATTGTGTATCAAAGTAATCAAATATAAAATAAAGTGCGAGTCAAAAGGAAAAAAGAAAGATAGTCAAATGACGCCCGTTTTTAGCAAATTCAGCCACCTCAACAATGAACATGCTTACGTGGGATCAACACAAACTACCCACGTCGTACAGACTCTACAGATAATAATCCAAAACCTCTACACGCCCTTAAAAACTGCAAATCATCAGATCAGCAAAACACGAAGAAGAAGAAGAAGAAGAAGAAGACATGGCTTCAAGCGATGAAACCCCAGGTCAAATGCCTCCCGGCGACGGCTCTGTGCCACCGGGGAAGCCAATGACAGTGGGACAGCATATAATCGACAAAGGGGCTCAATTGACGCAATCCTTGAAACCAATCAAGCAGATGAGCCAGCATGTCTGCACTTTCGCATCATATAGCCATGATATGACTCGCCAAATCGAGACTCATCACTATGTTAGCCGCCGCAATCAAGATTTCTTGCAGTGTGCTGTTTATGATTCTGATGACTCCGATGGACGCCTAATCGGTAAAACTTGCTCCCCACCTTCACCCACCTTGCTATGTCTTACAGATATCTCTATAAAGTTTCATGTTATCTTTGTACAGGGGTTGAATATATAATATCAGATCGGATCTTTGAAACACTTGGTCCGGAGGAACAGAAGCTTTGGCATTCACATGGTTACGAGGTCTCCTATTTTTTTTCTTGCTTTTAGGTTACCTTCATAATCCGTTTATTATTTTTAAAAAAATAATAATAAAATAAAATTAATAATAATAATTCATTGGTATTACAGATTCTCTTGATATCTGAAGCCCTTTACTTTTTGAAAAATGTGATTATTATGGTCCAGATTACATCAGGGCTGTGGGTGAATCCTCGTGTTCCAGAGATGATTCAGAAGCCTGAACTCAGAGATTTAGCCCGGAGTTACGGCAAGTTTTGGTGCACTTGGCAAGTTGACAGAGGTGGGTTTTTCTCTTCGGATTCGTGTTATATATTTTGGCTGAGTAGTGCATGTTTGGAAAAATTTATTAATTGTTTACAGAGAAAGAGAGGGAAATGTCAGAAACTTATTTGAATTGTATTGGCTTTTTCATGAGTGATACAAGAACCTCTTTACATATAAACATGTTGAAAACACTATCCAAAATAAATAAGGAATATGCAGATGATGTACAACTATTCTGGAATGAAGGGATTGGTTTGCGCAGAAAATTGTGGATCTATTCTAATGAGATTGAACTTTCCTTGCATGACCAATGAATGAGTCCCAAAGTATGGCTTGGTGCATTCTCAATTGGTCTATCATTTGTTGCTGCAGATTTGCCATTTTAGTGCAGTGAATTACTTAACAGATCTCCATTAATATTGGTCATGTGATCTTGAACATTTGTTTCCTTATTCCTTCTTTAACACCATATCTCTCCTTTAATATTCACGCCCTGTTCGGTAGGAATTTTGAGAATTGATTTTTTGACCATTAGAAGAAAAGTGGGGCCACCCGTGAGAGAAGAAATAAAAAATTACGGCTGGAATAGTGAAATAACAGTCAAAAAATTTTTTTTTTTTTTTTTGGTGAAAAATCATCCCCAAACATCCCCTCATATTTACCATAGTTATGTGGGATTGCAAAATCAATGTTGAGTTGATCATGCTGATTTAGCTCAATATTTACAAGCTGATCAGATTCTTACTTTTACTAGGGATAACTTATTTCCGCCTTTTGATGTCTAGTTGAAATGACTGTTAAAGTATTAAAAACGTTGGAGAGGTGACCACAAATAACCACCAATATTTTAGCACTCGAAGGATTTAATGAAGATTTTAGTAAATTTTAAGGAGGAAAAAAAGGAGGTTTATAGCTCAGTATTATACACAATATGAGAGTTAGTTCTTGATTTAATAAATGCAGGTGATAGGCTTCCCCTTGGTGCACCTGCACTGATGATATCTCCACAAGGTGTGAACGTGGGCATGGTGGATTTAGTTAAGAAAAGGGATGACAAGTACAAGATATCATCTGAGGAACTGAAAATAAGCAGGATAGATATTGCAATACCTGAGATGACAAATTCGTCTGCGGATTACTGGATGCAGACTGGCAAAGGTTTTGCCATTGATGTAGAGAAGACAGATATGGAATTGAGGGCGCCATTTCCATGATAATTATAAACTCTGATTTGTTTTGTTTTCTGTAACTAAGCACATGAAAATAAAAGATGTGGATCTCTCTCTCTCTCTCTCATTTTTTTTTTTTTTTTTTTAAATGACTATGGGTGTTTGGACCAACTTACGTGCACCTCGATTTTTCATCTTCTAATTATTTGATCTTTGGTTTATGGTAAATTATTTGGGAGGTATTGAATTCTTGTTCTAGAAACTCTTGTAGTCTAATTGATTGGGTTGGGAAATAAAGAGATTTAAAATTTCTTTTTTCTCTGGGAACTAGGTGCAAATTTCTTTTTTTCTTTTTAAAATAATTTCTGACATAATATTATGTTAGAAAACAGAATCCCAGATTTCTTTCTTTCTTTTTTTTTTCTCTTATTAAAATAATTTCGATATTTGACCCAAATTATTTGGGGTGGACAAAAGAATCGGTAAAGAATTGAACCCAGTTAATTGATTCAATTTGATTCTAACTATGTTTTCATATGATTCTGATTATTGAAGTCGAGATTATGAAATATTATATATTTTTCTAGGATTCTGTTGAAAAAAATAAATAAATAAATAAATCTGATGATCCTATTACATAAGTTAATAACCTTACATTGTGAAAATAAACTAGACCAGAAATGATTAGCACGATCTTTTCTACACTTCTTAACAAATTATAGCATTTGAAATTTCTGTTTTTAATTTATCGTTTCTGTTTTAAGCCTATGGCTCCGTTTGGTACTCATTTTTTTTTTAAATGTATTTTTCTCTTTCTTCTTTTCAACTACACATTCTTTATTAAAATAATATTACACGTAAATTCAAAATTTTTCCTTATTTTTCAACCACATATTTTCCATCAATTTAATATTCAAAAATGTATTTTTACATAAAAATGTCTCCCAAGCACTCCCGTAATTTAATTTGAAGGTTTCATTTTAGATTATTAAGAAATAGTTAAAATAGAATTGAAATTCGACTTTTGTAGTTAGAACTGAAGTCCAAATCTAAATTAAAATTGTTAGATAAACTCTCTTTTTTTGAAGTTTTAAATATCCCTAATTTATAAAAATTAATTTGATGATTTATTTAATTAAAGATTATATTAAAAAAATTGTTAGAACTGAATTAAAATTCGATGTACTGAAGACATAATGAAACCTGAACAATATCGAAACAAGCTGGGTCTCAATTCTTAGCGGACCCAATAAGGATTAAGCCATTCTACCAAATTTTGTATAAATGATGGATGGATCCCATCCAATTAAAAAATGGCCTAAATAATGCCACGCCCGCTTGCATGTGAGTGGTCGGTTGGGGTCCCCGGTAGAATAGCACAATCCGACCGAACACCACGCAAATTGATTTCACCGCCAGCTTACCACTAGGTACCCCACTGCCTGGAGAAATAAAATCCTATTTATCTTTCTTTAAAATAACTATTTAATTATCGTACTTATTTTTTAACTATTCAATTATTCGATGTACTTATTCTTTAAAATAACTATTCAATTTTTTCAAACTATTTAATCGAATATTCTCGGAAGGAAAAAAAAAAATACTATTCGAAAGATTATTTTAAGCAAAATAATCAACAGAAAGTGCAATAAAAATCTGATCTTAAAACATGTGTTCGTCGTTAACACCATCCAACATCTCTGTGAATGTCCCTTGAGATACGTTTGTTTCGATTTCTAATCTTTCTTGGATTTCTGGGTTTTTCTTTTGTCATCTTCTCAATCTCCATGGAGACTACAGCTCCCGATGTACATGTACAAAAAGAGATCAAGAAAGAGGTTTATTCGGTGTGGGCGCTTCCACCAGAAGACGTGAGGCCCAGGCTGAAAAACCTGATGGAGGGCCTCAGATCGGAGTCCGGCGGACCGGAGTTTGAGCCTCACGTGACAGTCGTCGGGGCCATTTCTTTGACGGAGAATGAGGCACTTGACATGTTTAAGAGGGCTTGTGAGGGCCTCAAGGCTTATAATGCTACTGTGGACAAAGTTGCCACTGGAACTTTCTTTTACCAATGCGTTTTTCTTTTGCTTCATCCAACGCCTGAGGTAATTCTTTTATATGTATTTTGAGAAATTATAAATTATTTTCTCAGAGGAAATTAATTTGCTTTCTTTTTGTATCTGTGTAGTGGAATTTGGGCTCATAACAAGTGTTAAATTATTTGTTTTCATGTACGATATTTCTAGTCATAGTTTCGCCTTGTTGTTTTGGGAATATAAATATTGAAAACTATTTGATTTGATCAAGATTCGGCCGATTTTCAAGTTTATTTTTAACGAAAAGTTGGATTTGATCATTTATATTTTGTATCATGAAAATCACCTATGAATTGTTATGTAATTGTTTATCGATATAGATAATAAATTTTGAATAATCTAACAATGAAATCAGGTCATCATGCCCCTTTAAAGTACCAGTCCGCGTTTGGCTGTGTTTTTGGCACACACGGTTGGGAAGATTATCTGCAATAAGATCGGTAGCAGGGTGCATAAGAAGATGAAGATAGCTAGCAAAGTGATCTCTACAATTTTGACTTTAGAGCTCTAAAAACATCTTATTTGTAGTGCTATTTGTTCCCCTCTGCAATAGTATATTGCGTTGGTTTCAATGTGGAAAAAACAAAAGAAATGAGAAATGGTTGGAAAAATATGCCTTTGATGTATGAAATAAGCTTAGGGCGAAATATAAAGGTCCAAAACTGAATTTTCTGTCACTTGAATTAATATTGCATTAATCCTGTTTCTTTTTCATTCTTGGTTCATACGGAATACGTCTCTGTGGATATATTCATCTGAGCTCAAGAAATGCGAGAGGTCGTTTCTTATAATGTTGTAAATCTTTTCTAAAACAGGTGGTTGAGGTACGTTCACACTGCAGCAATCAGTTTGGTTACAAGAGCTCAACACGTAAGCTAAGCATCCTCACACCTTATATCATTATAACTGTATTAAATTCATTACGTCAACATAATTTATCGATATCTTCATGGTTGCAACACTTTTGGTTACTGTTTAACAATATTTCTTTGTAAAAATCTTTTGAGCGGCTTAAATAATATATAGTAGACCTTAAATGATAAAGAGAATAAAATGAATCCATCTGATCTGCTAGTTGAACTTGTCCACCAAACTCTATAGGCAAAATCGGAAGATGGTCGCCTGACCATGTAATGTGATTAATTTCTGAGAGAAGACTCTCTTCAATTGATAGAAGGGCAAGAGGAAGATGAAATTGTACACTAGATTCTGCATTTCTTTTAACTTTCTTGTTCTTTAGTCCTTGCTGGTGTGTTCTCATTGTTGTAGAGTGCAGCTGTGTACATAAGAAGAGACAAAAATGAAAAAGAGAATAATTCAAGATGCTATCAGTATATTGTTGCCGTGGTAAATGATTCGATTTTGCAAGCTCTAGGGTAATCGTGTAGTAACTCGGTTCTGGATCATTTTTGTAGAATAGTAGTTAAAATTGCAGGTCTTTGTAAAATAAACACTAGTTAACAAAGCTGTAAATTATTTGGGAACTTCTATCGAAATATTTATTGATTCAAAATTGCAAATTTTTCGATAACAGTATTCCTCGACATTGTTTACTTGTGCACAAGCAAATCATTTTGGTAACATACAGATGTGTTCTTGCAGCTTACATGCCACACTTGAGCCTCCTTTATGCGGATTTGACAGATGAGGAGAAAAAGAAAGCCCAAGATAAAGCTTACGTCCTTGATGAGAGCATCGGCAGTTTGAACTTTCAGATTTCTCGTCTGGCATTATACAAAACAGACACTGAAGATAAAAGCCTCAAATCTTGGGAGAAAGTGGCCGAAAGCGACCTCAAACATTACTAGTTTCCTGGCATCTGGACTCCTTAGTGATACTAAGTTATGCTGGCGCCTCGCTGTTTCTATAGAAGGTTCTATTTGTACCATTTTTGTAGTTGGGAACTGATTGTGCAATTTTAATAACAGAAATGTGAAATGTTATTAGGAGCTTGTTTGATAAAACTTAAAAGCCAATTAAAATCAATTTTGACCGTTATTTTAATATTTCGGTTATTATTTTTGAATTCTTCTCTTACAAATAAGACACACTTTATCTCTAACGGTCAAAAAATTAATTATCAAAATCCTTATCAAACAAGCACTAGAAATGTTGAGTACTAGAATTCCCATTCAACTTGTTAAAGAACGATGTGTAATGCATTTTTGAAAGTGAATTAAAACAACAAACAAGTAGGAATTGAATTCTTTCATCAATTCACCACCTTATTTTTCACAATTGTTACACTTAAGACCATTTTCATAGTAGTACACACATTTTCACTCAGTTCTAGTACAACAAAATTACTCAAAAATAATGTCTATAAGAAAAATAAGTATGCAGATTAATGTATATTTCCCCGGTGATGGTGCTGCTGCCTAAACTGTTGATCTCGGCCTTCAGAGTTGAGCTAGGCGACGAATATCAATAGGGTATGCATCTGAAGCCTTTTGAGAACTGTATGATCTCCTTCCAACAATGACATTTGCAGCTTCAGTAGGATGAAAAGCATCCCAGAATAGGTATTCCTTTCTATTTCTGCAAGGAGCTTGTAATGGAAGACATGTTACTTGGCCATTGTTCCTCCCTACACCGCAGCATCCCTTATTTGTAACCTTAAACCCTGCAACCAACCAAAGTCAATGTTAATCTTTACTGTTGTCATACAAAAATGCTAAATGGACAGGCCCTGTCAATGTAGCTGAGCTCGTTATCATATCTCGTTCAAAAATTTAAATTGTTAAGACGGGCCTGCTTTGTTGCATGCATGCCAAATTCATTTTTATTATAAAAAAATGTTTGATACTTGAACTTTAATAAATGTGACTGAAAAGAGGTAAAAAGGCGAATTAAAGAAGTCCTGGAAGAATTACCGAAAGCGGAGGGGTTGTCAATTAAATCCTGAAAAATCCCATACGCATTAATATAGGTGAATTTTGCATTAGGCAAATTCTTGTTGAAATTAACAACTAGGGACTTCAGTTTGTTATTGAACATCTGATTAGCAGAGTTTATTCTTTGTACACACGTCTTCCCATCAGGGCTGTTTTGTGCCAATTCATTTGGGCTGCATCCAATCTGGCCTACTCCAATTAAGGCAATCTTTCTTGCACCATAATTGTACAAATTCTGCAGTCAAATAGAGAAAAAAATTCAAATAAGCATTTATTTCGATATTAATACGCTATATGGTACAATACATTATTTAGCAATATATATAAAAATAAAATAAAATAAAATCTTCTCTGTCGCATAGTATTGTCAAAGCGCAATAAGCCAGCTTTGTAACATTACCGATGTATCAATTTGGAGAATACGAACTTGCAAATGTAATGAAAAATGAAGGAGTTACCCTTAATTGTTGGGAATATTCTTGAATGAGAACATCAGCAAACTGTTCAGGGGTATATTGCCTGCTAGTTGAGTAGAAGAGAGGCATAAAATAATTGTTAAGGTAATCGTTGCTTCCCATTCCAACTGAATACACGCATTTGCCCAGATAATTTGCCGCTGCCTTTTCACCGCCTAGTAAATTTGCCACTTGTGAAACTGTGTTCTTGTAATTTTTTACTTGCCCAGCAAAGTAAGTTCTGGCTCCCTACGTGAATGTTATTATTTATACACAAGGAGTTAGTTTCCAGGCATCTTTCAAGAGAATTTATTCTGAAAATTTAACTTATCCAAAAACTTAGTTATAAGTAACTACCAATTGACGACCGGTTTCCTCTCTGATTCCAGCAGCTGCAGACGCATAGTTCACACCCTTGAGTATGTCTCGACCTCGGGTAGTAGTATACGGAGGGATATAGCCCTTAAAACCCAAAAGATCAGCTGTAGATGGTAAAGCAGGTTATAAGATTATAAGCTGACATGGGATATTAAACAAAATAAATGGAATGAATTCAGACCAAAATAGTACTTATTCAACCTCAATCGGCGAGTTATGTCTCACATTCTCGAAACAGACTCCTAAACTTTCTTTAGGAGACTTAAATATATGCATCGAATATCACAAACGTGTATGGGGGGAGAGATAGAAAGCCCTTACCAATGACATCGACTGCAGTTATACCATTTGAGAACCTTCCAGTTGGTCCACGAGGGAAATCAATCCCATAAGGCATATAATTAGCTTTTGCCAAGGAAGCAATGTAATTGTTATTCCCATTGTCTACCAAAGAATCACCAAAAATGAAGTAACATGGGACTTGTTGTGCCATAACCCCATAACCAAGATTCATCACCATTAATACTAGTACCACCAACCATTTCGTAATTTCCCCACCCATTCGAGCAACTTATAAACAAAAATAAACAAATGAGAGATGAAATTATAAGTGCAGTTGTGCAATGTGAGATGATAACAAAGGCATGAAAGCTAGTTATTTATAGAGCTCAAACTGAGATGACTTCTTTCTACCTTTCTACGCTACGTAGTTAATTAAGACGAGTAATACAGGTACGATTAAAGATCAGAGAGGTGCATAATTAAGTCCATGACCTAACTCTTCAAAATAAAACCTACTTACAATAATGTGAAGTGACATGCTAACAATATCAGTATGTTTAATAAAATTTATGAGTTATTCTATTGAATTTTACGTATCAAATATGCCTTCAATGCATGTTTGGGATGGAATATCTGTTGGAAAATTATTAAGCCCAAAATGAAAGTGCTTTAATAAGGAATATAGTAATTGGGCATAGTGCATCTAAATAAAGTACGGGCCAGATTATATGTATAGAGATCGAATTCCTCAATAATTGTATTTCATGATGGACAAAATACATACGAAAATTATATATAAGGTTATGGCCCTCAATTTATATACAACTTATCATGCTTTGTGTCATCCCATCAATATAAGAATTTAGAAAGAAGGCATATTGAAGAGGAAAATTTAAAACCCACAATCAATAACAAACAATTCACAATCAAGAATCAAAATTATGGATCAAGAAGCAAAATCAAAAACAAGATGTAAAGATATAATTCAAGATTAATCATTCGAGGAACAAATCAATAGATCAAAGTATATTTCGCATTAATTAATTTTCTTGATGATTTGATATAGAGAATCTTGACAATAAATTAATTAGGTCTCATGTTTATTAAGAATTAAAATTTCAGAATATCTCGTTATAGTTGACAAGATTTTAGCTCGTGTTTTCTTCCTTAAAACGGTGCAATATGGTCTAATCCAAATATCCAATATACGAGACGCTTAAAGATCCCCCAAGACTATCTTCTCTTTTTGTTATTGTAAAGAAAGACTACGAACATATTCTGCACAACCGACGTAGTATTTGTCCTCACTTAAAAGTTAGAAAAGAAGTCAAAAACCGCACCTTTATTGTTTATTATTCAATGGTACGAAAAGGTCATATTATCACCCAAAAATAAATAAATAAACAAAGAAATTGTCACTTTGTCCAAAAATATTTGACATTCAGGGTTACCGACTGTCCCATGTGAATTAAATAATGTCCGATTCCCAAGGGGAGATGTGTGTGTTCAGTCATCTCTAATGTTCCCCACTACTTTGCTTTAACTTAAAAGTCATGTCGTCATATGTTGTTTTTTTTTTTTTATAAACTTATTTAGCATTGCTTCACACGTGTAATCCAACCCTAAACAAGCTGGAGGATGACTAGTTCAGGCTGATATAAGCTCATAATAAATGACAGGTTAATCATGATTGATACGACGTTAATGCTGTCAGCTACCTAAGATAATCAGTTCTTATGTCCGGTGAAACATAAAATTATAGATTTTTTAAAATGATTGAATACATCCATTAATGTGATCAATGAACATCTACTACAGTTAACATGTAATTAAATCATAATTTGTCCGAAGAAATTATTTTCGAGCTATGTTATTTATACAAAGTGTGTTTACAATTTTGTTTGACAACAGAAATGTAAGCAAAATTCAGGTCATTGATTTTCAATGATTTAAAAATCTATCTTTGAAATGATTGGTGTAAATATTACTTTGTCAACCAACTTTGTAAACATACTGCATAGTGTGAAATCAATTTTGACATGTTGATACACCTAAATTGTACACGATTATACAAGATTAAATATGATTAAGGGATTGTTTGATGAAGTTTTTGATAAAAGTTTTAGAAGATTTGATAAAAGTCGATGAAAGATCTGTTTTGACATAACTTTTACGCCTGTAAAGAGCTTCGAGTGAAAACAACCTTAGGCCAGTTTCATTTAAAACCTCTTCTAATAAAATATTTTAAGAAAATTATTCAAACATATTCAGAAGTAACTTTTTAGTATCAAAAGTAGTTTTTGCTTTTCAACCCTACCAAACGGGCCCATTATCGAAAAGTTGATAAAAGTTTTGAGACCTATTAAAATTAAAATTAGTTATTAACTTTTTAATAATTTTCTTAAGTTCTTTTCAAACAAGCACTATGGAGGAGAGAGAAGCCGAAGATTTACAACTAGCTTATGTCACCATTGGACCTTCATAAACGTTACTCCTATCCAAAAAGTCCAAAATGTAGCTGAGACATTTTTTTCCTATGGTACGATACATTAATTGAAGGTCTTGCTTTTTAGCAATTTCCAGGAAAGGGTTTCTCCATCATGAAATAAATGATCGGACCGAATAGTCTTCCGCCGACAATATTTATATCAATGGTTGCAAAACAAAGCGGTGAAGATCCAACGCTGGAAATTGTCTTGTAGTTTCTGCGCGGGAAAGTTATACAAAGCAATTTAATGTTTTGCAGCGGCCAACTGCCGAACTTCAATAATGTATGGGGTTTGGTCCGTTGGGACCAAGTCATAGAAAACTAACACGCTTCTACAGATATGAACACAGTGGATTCCATTACCAGCCCACATGCTTGAAGAAAAAATGTAATGTACCAATTGTTGTGTTTCAACTTCTGCTGACCAATTTTAAAAATATGTCGACTCAAGCAGAACTGTCGCATTCTCTCTTGGATACTCTATCATGAAAGGAAGGTTGACTTCCTCATAGACGTCCACTCGATTATATGAATTGAACGTCAAAACCAGCAAGGATTGGTTCGCCCGTACTTAGTACAAAGAGCATACAGCTTTGGCTCTATGTGCTACAGGAACCAGTCTATCGGGTTCGGAAAGACTAATTCGAGCAAAACTCTACAAGTCATACATCAAACAGTTGAAAAACATTTATGTTTACAATTCCGCTATACTGTCGAAAAGGATTTGATACCCTCCTTGATAGACCCCTCACAAAAGCGGGAATTTTTTTTTATTTTTTTTAATTCACATGGGTCTATCTTATGTGAGTATAGGTCAATAAGAGTGTCAATTTTTTTCTTAGCAAAGAAGTTTAATTCTTATGTATAATCTTCAAAAAGTAATTTGTCGTTAAACATATCTCGAGTTTAATTTGTTTACTTGCATATTCAAGTTTTTATACTTACGTGGCATATTTGATACATGAATACTAGACTAGATTGAACAAAGATGAGATTTTATAACAAACTTCTCTTTTTTGATGGTGTATAGTTCGATCTAATCTAGCATATGGCATTTTGCACAAGAAAACATTGGTATCATCTAGAACAAATTTTGCTAAAACTCAAATGATTCCATTGTCGGATCTCAGAATTTTCACCTTTGCTTCCATATGGAGAAGTAATTAAGGAAGATGCAGTAGTAGCAAACAATACTAAACAAGAAAAAAACTAAAATTTTGTTTAATATATTGCCAATTCTCATCTAATACTGCATACCAAACAAACAATACTGTGTACACATACAATGAGCGTCATCAATCATTTTCTTCTAGTCATGCTTATTGATGGTGATTTACTTTGGAATATTACAACGGAATCAGTAGCATATTTTTCACTATAACGATAGATGGGCTCACTGTTCAATAAAAGCTACGCTATTACAGTTCTCAATATGAACATAAGCAAGTTTGAAACTTTCCAAAGAAAAAATACTTTAACACTGGCATTGCTCTCTAAAATAATCGACTGCAAGATTCATCAAAGCCATTGCAACTAGAACTGTAGGATATATATATATATATATATATAGGCTTCCTCATATGATGAAACAGCTTAGATCCATCAGTTCGTCCTATTTGCAGCATTTTGTGGCATTGGCATCAACTTTATATATATATATATATATATAGGCTTCCTCATATGATGAAACAGCTTAGATCCATCAGTTCGTCCTATTTGCAACATTTTGTGGCATTGGCATCAACTTTGTTTATACCAGCCTCATAATGCAATGGAGAGTGAGTCAAAGACAGCAATTAGTATCACGCAGTGTTCAGATCAACAAAACTCTGTCCCGAGAGCAACAACTTTTCTAAATGTAGATTTCAATTGGGTCTTACACTAGGAATTCTCAGTATTAGTTAGACTCCGTACAAGAGATCAAGACTAATGTTGACCCTGCTTTTGCTTGCCCGACTCCCACCAGCTTTAATCATCCCAAGCATCTCTTCTCACCCTAATCCTTTCACCTTTATAGTGGATATATTTCCATTTACTTAGGTACTTGGATAAAACCAGTCTCTGCTTGTCTTCTTGACCTATGACTTGAAAGGCACGTGCAACTCTTCTGATGGTATCTTCATCTGGCTTCACTCCCAACTCCTCCATGTCAGCAAATGCCTTAAAACATAAATTGGGAAACAATGAACTTGGTGCATGTTTGCCAAGCAGTACTAGATAGAACTCGACATCAAAATTAACAAGAATTTAGCTTGTTTTCTTGCTTAATACTGTCTAGCACTATCCATTCATCCCTACCAAACATGCCATTTGAATACTATGAACATGTCATGAGCCGCTTTTAAGCTTTACAAAAGTTCATGGAATTATCTAGGGGATAAGAAAGCACAAACCATATATAAGCAATACGTGCTTAGAAAGAGAGGAGGGGAAAATTGCAGAACCAGTCTTTTTAATAACAGAAACCAAACAGGTGCACATTCTGAATATTACCTCTATAATCTTATCTGGTACATTGTGATGATCGTACAAGGAGATCATCCGAGAGAATAGCCTTTTCGAGATAGAGCGATAATGTGTATGCAAAATCATATTCCATAACGATTCCGCTTCATCTACCCTTCCATCCATATCAAATGCCAATAAAAGTGTGTCATAAGTTCCCATTGTCGCTCCCTGACCTTTGCTCAACATCCACTTGGCCACCTGAGCATTAAGAGAAGCATCTTAGAACCAGAGTCAAGGCAGTAACAATCGAGGTAATCAGAAATTGAACATATGTTTTGTTGAAGGCTTGGAGGAGAAAGTTTCGTGGCAAGGACAGTAAACTCGTTTGAGACCTTATTCCAGGCTGCATTGTTTGGTGAGTGTGGAGAGAAAGAAACAGGCGCTATTTTGATGATCAGATGAAGACTTTAGAGCAGTTTAGAGAATTATTTTATTTGACATTGTATAATTAGTTTAATGCTGTAGCTTCTAGTCACATAGATGAGCTGCCTAATTTCATGACGTTTATTTCTTGTTTAAGTGTATAATATACTTCCTGTGTATTACCTTTTAATTAATAAAACATTTGATTACTTATAAAAAAAAAAGAAATTGAACATATGTTCAACCAACCAGACCATGGATCATGTATATGACAATATGCCAAAGTAAATTTGCTCAAAAAGATCACAGAATGAAGTTGCTTGGCATTTCATACAAAGAAGAGTAAGGGCCAATTTGGCATGGCTTTTGAAAAGCCAAAAGTGGCTTTTGAAACTAAGATGAGCTACTTGAGGAATCTTTTCCATTCTTCGTTTATGTATGAAAAGATAGAAATAAAATGACAACAATTTTAGGTATTATATTAATCATTTTTTGAAAGTGCTTTGTTTAATTAAAAGAGCTTTTAGATGAAGTTGCACAGGATGTCTTCCTCAACAAGCTCTTCCAAAAAAATGCGGGAAGCAATCACCTACTCTAATGAATCTTTTATTAGTCCAACCTTATTCCTTACATAGTAGACAAAAAATTAAAATTCCACCTCCATCCCCAATTTACAAAAATAAATAAATAAAAAATAAAAAGATGTTTTCAATTCTTATCAACTAAAAAACGAAGGAAAAAATTTGTAATTATTTTATTTATTCCGAGAATAACATTAATATATTTTTTTCATTAAGGGTAAGATTGTCATTGTCAACACTATACTATAATAGCTTATGGCATATTCATACCAAAGAAAAGTAAAAGCTATTTAAGAAATTAGTTTCCAAACACTAATTCAAAAGCTCTGGTTAGTGGCTTCTAATTCCTTTCTTCTTTTGCTCAAAAGTAGAAATAGAAGCTGCCCTAAAATATTTAGGATCATAATACTTGAAGCATATTTAGTCAGGATAAATTTCAACAGAAGTGCAAACCTAAAAAGATTTTACACTGATCATATTCTTAAGCATGTTGCTCTTGCTGCTGATTTCATGGGGAAGCTAGGACATGTTGCAATATAAATGAAGAATAGAATAGTTAGGCAGGAAAGTCGCCAATTTTATCTACAGCAAGTTTTATAAATGTAAATATTCAAAAGAAATGACTGCATTCAAGGTCATTGAATTAATGTCAAATTTTATGATAAAAATTCAACTCTCAATACCTGGATAACTCGCTTCCACTGATTCCTCTTCCTTAAGATTCTTAAGGCCTTGGCAGCGGCAATCAATGGAAATTCTGTCTCCCAAGCTATCCATCTATCCAGTGCACCATAAACTGCCTCTTTTTCATTCGGAAGTCCAGACATCTGCCAATTCACAATTGCTTTGTGAAGAGAACTATAACACTTCAAATTCATTTTTAAGTGTCCATGATGCAAAGAATGCAACTATAGAACTAAATCATCCCTTTAAACTCAGTAGTGAGTGTTTATAAAATCACATAAGTGACATGTTTAATTATACTTACAATTCGAATAAGATTTAATGCCTTCTGTCCAGAACCAGCAAAATCTCTTTTATTCCACAAGTGGTGTTCTTTCTTTCCAGCCTTTTGAATGATTTTCCTGCATTGACCAGTAAGAAAACAATCACAAACGTAAAAGACACAAAATAAATTCTAGCAAAAAACTTAAACAAGTCTCCCCAACACAATTCATCAAAATATATCGCCATTGATAGCCAACACAGGAAATCCATCCACTTGGAAATGTTAAATATGATCACACTTAAAGGAGAACAAAATCACCTACCTGTCACTTGACCTGGATTTCAATAAAGGTCGAAAATGGGGCTGGTTAACAGCAGAGATGCCTATTACCTAAGTAGCAAGAAAATATATTTCTTTGAGAAGAATATCCAAAATATTCAAGGGCTGTTAAATGAAAATTCTATTGAGAAATGAAAAGGCAATAACCTTCTCTGCAACAATAGTGAAATTCAAAAACCCACATTTTAGCAGGCGATTTTCTCTATCACCCGAAATCTGAGAAAAATTTACAATAAGGCACACGTCAAGAATACCAATTAAACAGCCCGGACGGTAAGAAAAGGGCAAAAAATGTTAACCCGATTTTGTCCAATTGATCGAAATTCAATACAAACTGGATCTATTCGACTCAAGAGCATCATAGTTGTGTCACAAAATTTTGCCAATTACGATTCTAAAAGCAAACAAAGAACACCGCAAAAAAATATAAATAAGTAAATAATAAAAATTAATTGGTAGGCAAATCTGTGAGAAATCGCAATAGTGTGTTTGGGTGCAAGAGAATAAAAGACACGAGGATAAGGACATACCAGGAATTCCTGCAACGCTCTGTTCAGTTAAAATCGCACCGCGGATTTTATTAAAAAGTTACTTTTATAAATTATCATAGTAAACTTTACTAGAGGGTTGTTTGGATAGATTCTTGAAAATCATTTTTTCTTCAAAATTATTTTCAACTAAACATATACGAGATTCATAACTCAATCCTACTTTTCAACCATACATTCTTCTCTGAACAAAGTCATTCACAGCTTGCTTCTTCAAGCAAAGCCAAGATGGTATGCTCATGTTCGATCTATATTCTTTAAAATTCATTTTTTTTCAAACTCATTTCAATCACAGGTTCTCCTAATAAAATAACCTTAAAAGATATCAAACTTGTGCTCAAAGAATTGTCATAGTAATAGTACCCTCGTTGGTAGAAGTTGTACGTGAATTCTCAATTATATTTTGCTGCATACCCATAATAAAATTATTATTTTCTTGTATTATGTGCTTGTTGTGCACCTTCCAAAACAAGGAATTAATTATTCCATAGGCACTAAATTTAGGTCCACATCTTTAATTAATTACTGAAATTTAAAATGTCAAATTTTGATCATTGAACTTAGATTCATGTTTTCAATTGCTCACTGAAATTTAAAATGTCAAGTTTTAACAATTGAACTTTAGAAAATGTTGTACGTTACTCGCTAACATAATTTTAAACTTTGAAAACTGTAAAATTTATGTGAATGATGTATAACATTTTTCAAAATTCAGTGGTCAAAATTTGATATTTTAAACTTAAGTGAACAATCAAAAAATGGACCCAAGTTTGATCGCCATTGGAACAACTAACTCTCCAACAAGTATGGAAATAAGAAAAGGTACTTTTATAATTTTAGCGAATGTCAATCATTGCTATTATAAACGAATTGGTGCCAGGCCATGAATGAACGAATAATAATTCATTAAAACACATCCATTTGTTGTTCTATTTTTATATTAAAATTATTTATATTACAAAACCTAAATATAACTGAAAATATGTTTTCCAATATAGGAGGATTACAGCCACGGACCCAAACCTTTATTTTTCATATCAAAGGTGACGAGAGGACGACTTAAATTCTAGGATTGGCTTCCCGAATCATTCTGAACATGTTTAGTAGATGGTGACAGATCGGGCAACTCACCAACCGCCACGAGCAGCTCAGACACCACGACGAGCCTATGGGCTTGGCTGGGCAAGCCAAGCTATGATCAGCAAATGAAGTTCGTAGACTTCTCGAGCTTGTCCTATTCAGCTCGATATGAACTATATCATGTAAATAATTAGGGTATTTTATCGTTATGTAAACATCTTGGCCAAAGAATTTTTAGGTACATCAATACACGTTAAATTATCAAAAGTAAATTAATCAAGTTGTCACTGCAAAAACTGAAAAGAGAGAAGAATAAAATAAGGCACAGCCACAAGCACACAATGATCAGAGTAGAACGGGAAAACACTAAAAAAATTACCATGACCCAATGAGAGAGCAAGTATAACAGGTATTGAACACAGCCACATATCCCATGGAGCTGAATCATTCTGAAATGGGTTACTAGTTACTACAAAGAGGTTGTCAATCATTAAACAATAAATATTAAGTAATCAAGTTCAGCAAAACATTCCATCTATATACAGAAATCCTCAATGGCAATTCAAAGAAACTTTCTCCCGACTACAGTAAGATAAATAGAAAGCCAGCCACCAGTGACAGAATTTCTTATGGTACCATCCACCCGTCTAATAAGCAGAGAACAATTTCTTTTTATCTTCAGTCATTGAAAACCATTGAAGCTACACCGTGTACTGATTTTTGGCAGCTTTGTCAAGCTTCTTAGCATCCTCCTGCATTACAACGGTTGGTAAGCTGGTGTTTAGATTAGCTCAATAAAAAGCTTACTTAAATAGGCAGTGATGTACACATTTTAATGCTTACATGCAATCAGAGCTTCCTGACAAAAAAATAGTTCATATTGGATAAAATATGGTGATAAACAGTTATATCTTATGAAGTCTGGTGAAGACGTGTTTATAAGGTATAAATAATGCCCAATTAATCATTCCACTTCCTTGAGACTGTAGAAAATACTAAGAAATCAAACAGATTAATATTATTATTAGATAAATGCATAATTAAGTTCCGTACCATGTATAAGTATCATTTCTAATATTGGAGAATAATTCATATCTGGATTTCTTTAGGCATATGATATATAAATTCCATACTCAATTATAGCACAGCCACTTTTAAAAGAACGTCATGAATGCTAACGTTCGATCGATTTCATTATATATATATATATATATATATATATATATATATATTAGAAAGGTTGTTAAAAGTTTGGGGGTGGTCATCATCCTCTACTCTTCACCATATCCAACCTCACATGCAAAGTTTCATAAAGTAAGATCACAGGAAATAAACCATTCAATATCCAGAGAGAAACATACAAATAGTAGTGAAAGCGTGTGGTCCGGTATACGAACCCACACGAAGAGTAGTGATTTAACTCTAAGAGAAAGGTCTAATGATCTCAATGTAACTCAAAAATACAGGCATTTGGGGCTTCAATGCGAAAATTGTTATGGATTAAATTATAAGAAATTTTTAAAATCAGAAATGCAAATGGTCAACCATATATCAAAAAATCCAATAAGAACAGCTTGATTTATTTGTTAAAAGCTAATTACCTGAGCAGCTTTATTGGCAGCATTCTTGGTCCACAAAGCAATTTTATCCTGCCTTAATCTGACATTCACAACTGCTCCACAGATTTCATCTCCATAATCAAATTGTTCTCCAATCATTGCCAGCAGCTAATATGAAATCAATATGGGGAATTAATGGGAGCATAATATAAGAGATCAACATTTTGGAAAAAAATGCAGTTGAACTGTACCGTGTGGAGCCAACATGTATCAGATTTACCCTTAGGAAAGGTCATAGTCCACTTTCCCCCATTGGCACAAACAGGATCTTCCCATTTAGGCTCAATTTTATACTTGAAACAGTGAAAGTCAGCTCCCACTGCCAACTTGCTTGGTTGGTTAATGTTATTGTAAACACTGCAGGCCATACAAAGTGAAGTTTTAAGTGGCAGGGTTCAAATGGAAGCAAAGGATAAAGTATAAAGTTGTGATCATAAAGGTAACAACCAAAATATAATTTCTACGGCCACTTGAAAGAAGTAGACGAGCAATTTATATTTAGGCATTGAAACTATGGTAATTAAAAAGAAAAAAGGAAGGAAAAAAACATCGAAGTTTTTTAAAGAAAAATGAAAACATAACCTAGAGAATTAGCTTCAAATTAATTAGGAATGCTTATGATTCTATTTTCCAGTTCAGGGGTCTCCACTCTCTCATCCCCACCCCCACAACGGGAGGAAATAAACGGGGAATAGTAAATTTGGCAACATCTTCTATATCTAGATTTCCCTATAAACCAGCTCCATTTTCCAATTTTTTCCCTAGCAATAAAATTAACAGCTCCTGATCTGCATTCGCACTTCAATATTCCTTTAAATATTTATGCTCCTATTTCACTTAGGATACCAGATCTTTCATCAATTTTTTGCTAGTGAAGAATAGGAAAACAAAAAGGAATTTTGACAAAGCATAAAAATATATAAATCCAAGAAAACCAGGAACACTCAGAGCGAGATGACCAAAAAATACATACTAAATCTACAAATACAGATGTTATACATTTACAAATCGAACATCTAAATCACACGTACAGGAAGACATATAAAAAGATAAGTACTACATAGATTCAGAAAAACTGGGTAGGGGTACCTCCAGAAGTCTTCAACAGTAGAGAAGGTATAAACCGGGCGGATTGAACTGCCCCACGCGGCCTGTGGCTGTTTATTTTTTACCGACGGGTTGTCGAACCAAAATGTCCACGAGTGCTCCAATGGGTGCTTTACCGGTGGCGGCGGCGGCGCCATGTCCTTCGCCTCCGCATCAATGTCTGACCCGCCACCAACGATCTCCCCTTCTTCGGCCTCCGATTCGTCTCCTTCAGTGATATTAACATTCGTTATTCTTGACGTTGATGATGAAGATTTTTCGGGTTCCTCTTTGCTGAGATTGGTAGTTGATTTCTCTGTTTCTTCAACCATTTTCTCTTTTCTAGTTTGTTGATCTCTTAGATGTGTTTTCTATTTGCGTCTTTTATTTTGTTCGAGTTATTCTGTGCGAGGGTTTCTAATTTACACACCGCCACACCAAGTGTATATTTTTGTCTAGAACCATTTGGGTCGGGTCAGATTTACAATTAATCCATAATGAACTAGGATTAGTCAGGTTTTGGTCCGAATTGGATATCGCCATATAAATATTCGATATATTCAAATTGTAGAATTTTCACTGATACATTTCGATCTTATTCAAATAACTATCATTCTATTCTAATTTATGCGCCTATCTATACGTAAAATTCCATGTTGATGAATTTTTATGAATAAACTTCACAAAAAAATAATAATAAATATTACATAATATTACGATATTTTTGTCTAGAACCATTTGGGTCGGGTCAGATTTACAATTAATCCATAATGAGCTAGGATCAGTCACGTTTTGGTCCGAATTGGATATCGCCATATAAATATTCGATATATTCAAATTGTAGAATTTTCACTGATACATTTCGATCTTATTCAAATAACTATCATTCTATTCTAATTTATGCGCTATCTATACGTAAAATTCCATGTTGATGAATTTTTATGAATAAACTTCACAAAAAAATAATAATAAATATTACATAATATTACATTGCAGAATTGGAGTGACAGAAGTAAGAAAAATCAAGTATATTCCAATTCAACTCGTGAAGTGGGAAATTCTTGAACCAAATGTTTCAGTTTGAGTTGGCGAGAAGTGCGACCAATGACGCATAGACTCCATTGTTCATCTTCATAAGCGTTTCGTGTTTCCCCTTTTCCGCAATAACTCCATTTTTCACAACAGCAATAATGTCTGCTCCCATAATTGTTGTTAACCTATGAGCAACAACAACTGTGGTTCTATTCACCATTACGTTGTCTAATGCTTCTTGTACTATACGTTCAGATTCTGTATCTAATGCACTAGTTGCTTCATCAAGTAAAAGGATTTTCGGATCCTTTAAGATTGCTCTGGCAATGGCAATTCTTTGTTTTTGTCCACCGGATAATTGGACCCCTCTTTCTCCAACAGAAGTGTCGTAACCATTAGGCAATCCCGATATGAAGTTGTGTGCATTGGCGACTTTTGTAGCTGCAATGATTTTCTCTTCTGTCACGTCGCCTTTTTTGCCGTAAGCAATGTTCGAACGTATAGTTTCGTTGAAGAGAATTGGTTCTTGACTCACCAATCCCATCTGTTGCCTCAGCCAACTGATTTTGAATCTTCGAATTTCCACGCCGTCCAAGAATATTAGGCCCGAGTCGGGATTGTAGAATCTTTCTATCAGACTGATGACAGTTGATTTTCCACTGCCGCTCTCTCCAACAAGAGCAACGGTCTGGAAATCAAAATAAAAGTTTCAAGGCTAAGTAAATGATGATTGAAATAGAAACATAAATCGTGCATGTTTGGAAAGGGACTTGTCTAATGCTACCTACCAAACATGCACAAAACATATATATCGATTTTGTTTAGTAATAACATCAAAGAAACTTGGAGGGATGGAGAATAGTAATACCTTGCCAGAAGGCATGGTTAGAGAAAGATCCTTGAAGATTTGAATATCAGGGCGCATAGGGTATTTGAAGCTTACGTGTTGAAACTCTATATCGCCCTTAACAGTATCCAATGTTGTGCCTTTATCGCTACTTGAGTCGATCCTTGGTTTGCTATCGAGAATCTCAAATATAGAAGCAGAAGAATCCTTGGCTTTATTAATATCTGGAGCCATTGCACTTCCTTGGGAAACTCCAGTAGCTGACATTGTTAGGGCAAAGAAAACCTGTATGCTGGTGTTGTTAGATTTAGGGTGAATTTCACTTCAAAAATTATCAGGAATGGCTATTATTAGAAATGAGCTTACCTTAAATACTTCTCCAAATGTTGCTTTCCCATTTTGAATAAGAACAGCTCCAATGTAGAAACAGAAGGCATTTGTGCAATACAGTGCAAAAGAACCAACCCCAAAACCAGCTCCGCTAACAATTCCAAGCTTAATTCCTTGCTTCGTAGGTCCCTCGCATTTTTTCTGGTACATCTCCATCACCTTCTCTTCAGCACTAAATGATGCCACAGTTCTGATGCTGCCAACAGCATCGTTTGCCACTTGACTAGCTTCCTCGTACATTAACTGTGCCACACGTAAAGTAGATTATACAATACTTGATAATACTGTTCATTACTACGTATCAAATATGTTACCTTGGCATCTGCACTAAACCCTTTATAGAACTTAAACTGAAGGAATCCTTGCATGCCAACTAGGGGTAGCACAAGTAGGATAATGAATGCTAGTATCCAATTAGCAGTAAAGGCTATTACGAGGCCTGCAATTACTGTTGAGAGGTTTTGCACTATAAGCGCCAAGGCATCACCCACAAGACTTCTTATGGTTGATGCATCAGAAGATAATCTTGATCCAACAGCACCACTGCATTCAGCAAACACTTCCAGTTAAGTCTTCCACTTATGAAAGAAAAAGAGAATGATTTTTTTAGATTACTTTGAAAAATAAGAAATAACCTTGAATTGACAGGATCGTCGAACCAATTTATTTCCTGGTGCACTATCTTTTTGAATGACAAAGAACGAATTCTTTGTATCAACTTACCACCAGCTATTCCGAAAAAGTAATTCTGGATTGGTACGACTACCAAAGTGCATCCACCAAGCAGGACAAACATAAGTGCCCAAAACTGGGAATCCTTCCGCAGTTCGTGTGGAGGTTCATAGAAAATTTTGATAGCTGATGAAATCAAGAGTCCAAATACAGGGAAAATGACACCATGTGCGGCTGCAGCTCCGGTTCCCAGAATCAAATATGGCAATTCAGGTTTGTTTAAGTGGGCTAGCCGTGTAATAGAAACTTTCTTACGTTTTTCCAAAAGCTCTTCGTAGTTTTCATCTCTGTCCTCTCTAATTTCAGTTTCTTGCAAGTCAAAAACACCAGGAACACCGTAGGATATTGTGAAGGAATGCCTGGAGGAACCGCTACTTGTAGATCTCCTTACAGATAGTCTCTGGCTTGAAGATCTATCCAAGGCTAGATCAGAATCCATTTTCTGTAATACGGCTACTTTATTGTTTTCATCCCGTTTTCTCCCTTCTTGCATACGGACAAGCTGCGTATATGCTCCCTCAGGATCTTTCATCAATTCGTTATGAGTACCTATAATTGGTTGTGTTAAATTAGTAATCAAATAATTGCTTGTACTAAATAATCAAATTTAGCAACATAGATTTTTTTACCTTGTTCTACTAGTTTTCCCTGGTGCACCACTGCGATAAGGTCAGCATTTCTAATAGTTGTTAAACGATGTGCTACAACCACGGTTGTTCTATTTTTCATAACATTTTCCAGTGCATCTTGTACTATACGTTCTGACTCAGCATCTAGAGCACTTGTCGCTTCATCAAGAAGAAGGATTTTTGGATTTTTTAGAATAGCTCTAGCAATTGCAAGTCTTTGCTTCTGACCACCGGATAGTGCAGTTCCATGTTCACCCACCATTGTATCAAGTCCCTGCAAGAAAGATACTAGAATTTGATCAATAATCATATACAAAAAGAAAACATGAAAGAATTAAATAAAACGAAGAATAATTCACCTGAGGAAGTTTGTCAATGAATTTCGCAGCATTAGCAAGTTCTATTGCCTTTCTAATCTCTTCATCAGTAGCGTCTTCTTTGCCATATAATAGATTATCCTTCATACTAGTTGCAAACAAGACAGGTTCCTGACCTACAAGACCTAACTGGCTTCTTAACCATTGGAGTTTCAACCTCTTCAAATTAACACCGTCTAGAAACACTTCTCCTGCCTCGGGGTCATAGAATCGCTCTAACAAGCTGATCACTGTTGACTTTCCACTTCCACTTTGTCCAACTAGAGCTGCAGTATTTCCACTAGGAATGTAAATCGAGAACCCTGCAAAAATCTCCACTTCTGGCCTTGCTGGATATCTAAAGTACACATCCTTTAGTTCAATTTCACCTTTAATATCATCCAAGACGATTCCATTAATGTCATATGCATCGATTTTTGGTGTCCGTTCAATGGTTTCAAACATTTTATATGCAGCAGCTTGCCCCGATGCAAATGCATTGACACAAGGAGATGTCTGGCCGAGTGATCTGCAGATTCAACAATATCCAAAATGGTTAAAAAGGTAAGAAAAAAAATATACAACATTAATTGTTAATGGTTTTTTATATATGATTTGGTTAAAACATATTAACAGAGCCTTTGTTTGGCATAGTAAATTGTTGCAATGCTAAACTTACATTCCCCCTGTCATAATTGACATAATCACGTTGATAACGTCCCCACCATCGTAGCCTTTGTTTAAGATCAATTTTGATCCGTACCATATGGCAAGTCCATAAGTGCCGAACACTATTAGTAATACTACGCCAAGTCCAACACCTGAAGCCAGCCCTTGCTTAACACTAGAGGCATAAGCAATTTGAAGCTCGCTATCATACTTATCTGTTGCTGACTTTTCTCCGGTGTATGATGCTACCTACAATGGTTAGACATAAAAGACATTTTCTCGACATTCAGAATCAATTTGTGTGCAAATACAATGAAAGTGCGTAGTGTTATATAGAATATAATAGTACACTATTGACAGTAAAATCCATCCTACCAAATGTCAAGACTCAATAGTATTGTACCGTTCTAATTGCTCCCACTGTTTGTTCTACCACATTTCCTGCCTCTGCATAAGCTACTTGTCCACGGCTCGACATTTTGGCCATTAACAATGACATGGCACCTCCAGCAACGACCAGAGCTGGGACGCAAGAACATAAGACTAGGGCTAGAAGCCATCCTTTGCAAAAGGCAATTATAAAGCCTCCAAAGAACGTGGACGCAAATTGAATGAATTTTCCAACCTGTAATGAGTAAACATAGAAATGAACAGAATAGTAAAAAATGCAGTTGCTATTGCTTATCGAGAGGATTGCTCACTTTTTCACCCATGGCTTCTTGAATGAGAATGGTGTCACCAGACATCCTTCCAATGACCTCTCCAGTTGTCGTTTGAGTGTCAAAGAATTCGATGTCTTGTCTTAATATTGTTTTTAAGTACAATCCTCGAATTCGAGTGGCTTGTCTTTCTCCAGTCACCATCCAACATGACATCTCTATTGTACAAGCAAACAATTTTTCATTTAGTTTGCATGCACGGATTCTTGAAGATTCATGAAAAAAAAATTAAATGCACTTACGCAGAAATGAAGCAAGGCCCGCGCCAACAGCCAAGTAAACATATTTGAGAGATATCTGAAAATTAGCCATGCGGATAATAACACAAGTTATTCGCTCAATGATGAATAGGATCTTTAGTACAAGTGTGAATCACAGAAGAAAAAAATACTGTTCTATTCATAATTAAATTTGTCATATCATTCCAAAGAGAATAAATCAAATAAATATAATAAAACTCAGCCACAATATTGTCGAAGAAGAAATAATACCTTAGAAACTTCGTGCACAACATGTTTTTGATCTGTCCCCGCGAAAGAATTTATCAACTGGCCAAAAATAAGGGTCATGATAGGCTGCGCTAATCCATTGCCGACGGCAGATATTGATCCAACAATGATAAGAAGAACATCTAGCCTGTCTGCAAAAGAGAAAAGCTTATAGAAGGGCACTTTTTGATCATCTTTTTTCTTCAATGTATGCTCTCCTTCATGCATTTTTCTTTACCAAATTTTCACCAGAAAATGAATGTCATGCTCTAAAGAAAACCAGCTTCAGGAGCTAACCGAAGAAACCAAAAGGCCAATGATGATATTAAAAACAGAAATTGAACCAGGGATGTTGAGTTTTATCTTGTGATTTCGTTTATATATAGAGAGAGTGGTACCATTTTTAGCAACTGAGGACCTCTCATTTTTATTTATAAGCGATTACTTAGCTGTTTTTGTAACTAATTTTTGGTCTTCTTCCAAAAATTATTGATTTTAACAAAATATTCTCAGAAAATGAGACCCAACCCAATACGTGTCCCCTCTCTCTCTCTCTCTCTCTCTCCTGTGGTTCTAGAAGGGAATGTTAGAAATGTTATCTGATTCAGATTCTTGTTTTCCCTGAATTTGTGGTGTCCATGCAGAGAAATATGTACCACCATTGATTGAATCTTTTTAGGACCGAATGATAAAAATCTATAAAAATTTCTCGTAAAGAAAACATGACATAATTAATTCGTATTATATTTTAATTTTATTGTTCGTCTATAATTTTTGGTGATATGATTAGTATGGGAGTTATTACTCACCAATCTTCTTTTACCAGTGCCTTGAATTCATTGCGTGAATTGGAGGCATGGCATGACTTTATTTCTCACCCCTATGGAAAAATTAAGGCTTTAGTTAACAGATCGGAACGACTGTTTGATTGAAAAAACATTTTGCATTCGAAAAAAAGCAATGGAATGCAATTACAAATATTACAAGAAGCATTGCTTGCAAATTATACCTTCTCCATCTTTTGCTAAGTTTGTTTTAGTATTAAATATTAATTAATATTAGAAATCAAAAATACTGCTGTTTTTACCTCTTTTACTTGAAGAAAAATGCTTAAGAAGTAGGCACGGTTAAAATCCGAAGGTACCAAAAGGAAGAGCATTTTTGTTAACAGAGCCGACCCAAAGGCCAAAATGGCTCAAATCATAGAGGCCAGAGCATGACAGCAACCAACTTGCAAATCGATGAATACTAAAGTGGATAGAGCTGATACATAGAAGCTAAGGAATGTTGAAGCAGAACATTCATCAACTGGGATACAATCTGATTCACAAATCGATATAAATAATTGTCAAGGAGTACATTTATAAAGGTCAAATAACCTCTTATAAGGGAAGTTACATGATTGTACCATAGTAATAAATTTCACTTGCTATAAAGTGCGAAATAGCAGATTAATAGTAAATTCAATTTAGAACTTGTAAGGTTAAAGCTCATTCATCTTGTGTGCAACCTGTCAAGCTTGTTGGTGACAACAAAGCTCAAGATGAGATGCTAGCACCACAATTTCACTTATTTTCCAATTTAATGCATCCTATCTCTGCACGTTATGTCATGCATTTCAACAGGAAAACCCATGTTAAAAATTAAAAATCTTGCAAGAATGAAATACTAAACAAACAAGCATTACAAGAGCCAGCATCTCAGGTTCCTTGACGATTCACTAGTCTTCTTGTAAGACGTGTAGCCGATATTGGGCATCAAAGTCAATCAATCCATGGAACTTACTTCTGACCCAAGAATTAATACCCCTTTGGTCTCCACTGGTTTGTCTGTCAATTGCAAAATTAGTCCAAGCATTTTATTTCATTATGTATACTTGTGCACTATATTCTGTTAACTATTATCATTTACAAGTCAAAGAAAACATATCCTTCAACTAGCTTGCAATATTAAATACATTTTCTGGAAAGTGTAGAAATGTGAGCAGGATTAAAGTAATAGAAAGCTTTTAAATAGTTAAGCTAACTGTGTTGCAAGATCGGCTCTCGGGGTTCATATCTGCCCTCAAAACAAAACATCCAGCAAAGGAACATGTTTGGACATTAGATACTGTTGACCCCAAAAAGCATTGTCAACAGATGCCGGTCCAATCACGCACACGTGGGCGAATGTCCAACACGCTAAGACACGTAGACAGTCTAAAATGAGCGGTTCTAAGGGCGTGGGAGTAGCCCAACGACGCGGAACAGTGACGTTCGGAATCCGGCGAGTTGTTCGTGATCCGATTGTACAATAATTACCAACCGGTGTTCGTAAATGTGCATGTAAATGTGTATAAACACGATTTGTGTATTGCGAGTGAGTGAGAGAGAGTTGAGTAAAGTATAGTTCTTTGTATTGATTTTTGCATTAGCCTTTTGATATTACACAAGGGAAGTATTTATAGTAATATATGTGAAATGGGAGCCATTGGATGAGGTGGCACGTGGCCTCATCTCTTTAATTCAAACATCCCATTCTAGACATGGGGCTTGACTTGCTAGCTTGCTGTGCATTTATTGCTTTGTACAGGGTCTCCATACTAGTGACAAGACTTGACATTTATACTTATGACAAACGTTTCATCAATCATTCGAATAAAATCTTTATGCGGACGATCTCTTGGGAGAAGTGAACATGGAGGACACTCATTTGTGGTTCGAAGGCTCCTGCGTCTGCTTCGGGGCTTCGGCCATTTCACACGATACTTCCGCTTGAGGGCTTCAGCTATCATCAAATAGCTTCAGCATCATGGCTTCGGCGTGTGGACCTCAGGTACATTTACAGGCCTCGGTAAAAAAGGAGCCTCGGCTAGTGGACTTCGGCTTGAAGGGCTTCGGTATTGCCCACCTCGGCTGGAATGCCACGTGGTTCGCCCTGAGTGGGCTATAATGGCCCAGGTGAATTGGCCAAGTATGACCACACACAACAAATACCACAAGCAAGTAATGTTTCTAAATAAACAAATGTAAAAAGGATTGATTATTTGTTTCAGCAGTCTCAGCCGAAAGATGGTGAATATGTTTGTGATAATATCTGGAAATCAGCAATTGTTATATACTTCATCATGGATTACATATATATATATAAGATTCATTAAATAAAGATCAGATGGTAGTGCATGCTTTGATAATTGTCATTGAATATCGGAAGAGGTGGATAAACATCATCATCTCTTTTTCATTTACCAATTATCAACAAAATAAAGAACTATAAAGACATAAATTATAGAAAAAATTATTGAAGGAATCAGAAATAAGATGTCAATCACCACATTGCATCTACAGATAGATGAAAATCAAGCCAGGAACGACAACGCTACCATCATCTTCCCAAATAAAAAAATCCAAATAAAAAAGCAAAAAGTATACTAAGCTTTGTGTATCAAAGATTGTACTTTTGTTTTTAACATTGCAAAATATAGATATTTATGCCTTGACAGAGATAAAACTGTTACTTTGGGGTCTCCTGAATTTCTTGAACCTCTTCCTAACAACCTTCTTTCCCAGCAGAGGCTTCGCAATTGTAACTCTGCTTGGATTAGGGTTTTGGGAGAAACGCGGTGTCGGGGGTATATATAGAAAGAGTGGTATTGAACTAAGGTTTTGAGCGACGGGTTTAAAAAGGGAAAAATCATAGTCAAGAGGTTAAATATTATTTATTTCAAAACTAAGAATAAAATTTTTAAATTTCAAAAATTGGATATTTATTAAATTTTATTTATGATTTAACTAATTAATTATATATTTTGTTAATTAAATATAGGTCAAAAAATTATTCAATTTGGTCACAAATTAACAATTTAATTAGTCACATTATTTTTCGATCATAAATCAAAAAATCTTCATATCACAAATTATTTTATGGTCACAATTCAAACAAATTATTTATCGTTTATAAATCACAAATATTATAAGTTACAACTTATTAGACAGTCACAAATTATCAAATTATCGATTACAAATAACAATTTTTAGGGCCACACATTATTTATTGGTCACAATTTTCTTTTTTTAATAGTCACATATTAACCAATTTCTTGGTCACGAACAATTACATCATTTATGACCATCACCAACAGACCACCCCCTCACCATTGCTGCCAACCATATCGCCGTTGAAATAGCTACCATCAAAAACCAACATCACCACTACCACCACTTTAAATAATCAAAAAATACCACGATGAGATGTGCTTCGCACAACGATGGCCTACGCCGATAGATCTCATGCGCGGCTTGGCCATGAAGAGATAATGAGGCGGCACAGCATACAACGAGACAATGTTTGTCTAAGTAAAACAATGAGCGGTGGTCTACATGCAATGTTCGTCGTAGTAGAACAATGAGAGATAACGGGGCATCACGTAGCTTGACCATGAAGAGACCTATGATGGTAGTGGTGGCTTTAAACTGCTTCGTGTGGCTTCACTCCAACGGCTTCCAGTGGATTACTCCGACAGGTCTTTTTCGACAGAGAAAGAGATGTAAGAATATAGAGAGAAAGAGAAGTGAGGGAGAAGAAAGAGGAAAATATATATATTAATTAACTAATTTTTAAATATATTAATTAGTTAACAAAAAGATTTGATTTTTGAAATATTAAACATAACATATGATTTATGAAATGAGATCTTTAAATGTGGTAGTTTTCGTAATTTCCACTTTAAAAAATACCAACCAAAGGCTACATATTCATATTTGGGCTATCTCTTGTTTCAACAATCTTGATTTGCTTGGCTTGACTCAAATTCAATTTGTACTGTGGTTCGGTCCATTGGGATTCGGAACAAAAATCGACTTGTGATTTTTTCCTACTAACCACAACAAATGCGAAAGTGGAAACTCAAGCCACATAGGCGTCTTTGAACAGTCTCATTCGTTTCTAGAACAAAAGTTGAGTTAGGATTCTGATATCATGTTCGCTTTTAGTGCTTTTAGTTCAAATGGATCCTGCATCGAGATCCTGTCGTTGTTCAGCAACAATTTATGTTTCGAGGTCCTAGGCTATATCCATAGCTAACTAATTCTTCGTTATGGAGAAAACAACCTAATAGATAACCTTTTACATACAATGGACGCAATAGCTTTCCATCTATCCACAATTCATCTTATGTTGTTTCAACTCACTGGTGTTCCTTCTGAACATCACTTTTCTTTTCTTTTTTCAATCATGCTACTTGTACTTTGATAATGTGTGAGTTGGTAAGGATCGGGCCATTGGATCTTTACACCTCACACATTGTAAAACTAGTTGTACAACTAGATTAATTATTGGTTTTTATCAGGACTCCCAGGATAC